ACGTCGGCAAGCCATGGTTCGGACATTTCCTGATTAGTTCTTTATATCTTTCCCACGCCTCGTGAACAGGTTCACGATCATACTGTCTAAAGGAGATGATCTCCTCTCTGATATCAGCGTGGCGAGTAGGTGGGAAGAATTTTGTTAAGAACTTCTCCACTTACGACCCCCATGTGGTGATGGATCCCGGTGGAAATGCATTGAGCCATGCTCTAGCTTGGTCCTTCAAAGAAAATGGAAAAAGTGTTAGTCTAAGAGCATCGTCTGTTATACCAGGTAATCGAAATGCATTTGCAATTTGAATGAATGATTTCAGATGATCATGTGGATCCTCATGTTCCTGCCCTCCAAAATGTCCAATTGTCTGCAACATTTGGATCCTCATCGCAGTAAACTTTTACTTTTGGTTGATCAAATCCGAAATCTTTCAAGAGTCCTTTTAGCCATAGAGCCTCTTTAACGSTTTCTGACAAGGCTATAAACTTTGCCTCTGTGTTGGAAATATATACTACTAGTTGTAGGCTTGCCTTCCAGTTGATATCATTTTTTCCAACCAAGAAAAAGATCATAACCCGAAAGTCATCTCCTTTCGTCTAGGTGTGCTTGATTTTCCAACTTCTTCATACATGAACCTTTCATGTTCTCTAAAAACAACTTCTATGTTGTGAATACCTCTTTCCTAAGTATCCTTTAACTCCTTCAATGAATCCTACAAACATGCACTAAACAACCTTTGGTTCTAACTTGCCCTAATATGTACGTAGGAGGATGTCTCAGTCCACATTTCTTCCGGAGTTTGGAATTCATTTGTTGTATAAGGGCTTCTATTAATGGTGTAAACAGCATATGAGGCTGCCTCTACCCRAAATCWTTCAGGTAGATTCGCATTAGTAAGTAAGCATTTAACTTTCTCCATTATTGTTATGTTTAGCCTTTCAGCGACGTCATTTTGTTGAGGAGTATACCTGATTGCAGAAACTATTGAACTCTTTGTCTTTGTCTTCAAGTACCTAACAGATCTTAAGGTTTCACTTTCCACAAGCTTCTCCCATTCTTTAAACTTTTTAAGGTTTGATCTTTAGTTTTCAAGAAAAATATCCATGTTTTCCTAGAAACCTCATCAATTATGGTGAGAAAAATACCTCGAACCACTACAGAACATAGTCRAGTATTCACTTTGTTACATGTTCTGATTTTTGAAAACTATGCCTCCTAGCCGTCCCAAGACACAATGTTCAAAGAAGTTGAGTTCCTCATTCGAGCCTTTCGGTAATATGCCCTGTTTGGCTAATTCTTRMAAACCTTCTGAACTTATATGAGAGAGATRWTTGTGCCACACGTCCGCTTCTATTAATCACCATCACTAGCCAGTAAAGTTGCCTCGATGACTCTATACCTTTGATTACATATATGCCATTTATTTTCTCTTCAATTAGTACTATTTTGCAGTCTTTTCTTATCTAAAACATGCCTACATGTCCATTGTATTCACAGTCGATTGACTCTAACATACTCAGTGAAATTAAACATCTTTTTAGGTTTGATACATGTCTCACATTTTGGAGCAATTTTAGAGAACCATCATTCATTTTAAGAGATACAATACCAACTCCAATTACCTTGCAGACGTCATTGTTTTTATTCTTTC